TTTATTTGATTCTGATCCATATGCTTTATGAAGTATTCAGTGTACACAACAAGTAAAGAACATTTATATTAATGGTTTGTCAAGCCATTTGTCTCCATGGAAAAATAGATATGTATCAAATATCAAAGGACATGCAAATTTTTTTCTTGACAAGTCATCTGATCTGCAAATGCACTGTGGTTATAAAAGCAAGTTAAATATGTATCTATTTAGGATTAAATTACCATTTTACCAATATCCCCCTTATCTGAATTAGTAAAAAATCAGAGGGAGAAAGAATATAAATAAACATCATGCTCAAGCTGTAAAGGGATTTCATTGCTTTACATATTACTTCAAACTGCATGCATCAGTTAAATACAAAATTTTAAGAGCAGCTTAAAATTGTAGACCTCAGTTAAATCTTAATTAGATTAAGCCATTGAAGTAGGTGGCCCCTGAATGAAAGGTAGCTTCCTAAGGTCAATATTTAAGGCCTCTGGAATGTTTATTGCCCTTTTATTCTTGTATTTGCTCATGGCTTTTAGTATGTGCCAATAATCTCTTTGTTTCGCTTTGATAGACAAAATGTGTTCTCACAGTTTGGATGTATATACTTGTTAGAATATAGTATTTTTGAGTTTTTTGTTTGTTTTCTGTTTTTTGTTATGCTGCATCTCCATTGTCTAAATCAGACATAATAATTGCCCGATAGAAATATATTAAATGAATTCTACTTTATTAAATCCTGAAGTCTTTTGAGTATCTGGTCTTAATGTGATTTTGATAACTGAAGAAGATGGACAATAGCCAAATGTTAGTACAGGTTCCTGAGTATCATCTTTAAAAAATACCAGTTTAACACACTATATTCACCAGTTAAAATAAAATGAATTTCTGAATGGCATTTAAGCATCCTCGTCTAATGTTTAGAAAATAGAAATAGCTTGTTTGGAATAGACTTTAAAATGATTTATCCTTGGTTATTTTTCATTACTCACTATAGAAAAACAAACAAACAGGTACTGTGCTGATTACTTAACATGACTTCATCTTACTTGATTTTTAGGATAATATTTTGAGGAACATCTTCCTATTCCTATTAAGGATGAGATCATTGATGCTAAGGAACTTGTTCTTGATTACACAGCTAGTAGGTAGTGAACTCAGGAGTCTGTGCAAGCCTTTACTCTGTACTGCCGCATGTATACAAGAAATAAGCCACAATTGTTATAGATTTGTTAGAGTGAAGTAGGCCTTTAAGGACAAAACGTGAATTCTTTTTTAACCTACTGTATTTTTAAATTAGTTACAAATATGTAAGTTCTCTAGTATTGTGTCTTGAAGCAAATATATATATATATATATTTAATGATATATTTTTCTCACACATTTGAGAAAGAATTGAAGGGTTCTAGTAGGGTAATGATAGTAATAATAGAATCTGATTAGTTCTATCAGGATTAATCTAACAATTAGACTATAGGGTAGAGGCAGGTAGAACAAAGGAGGCTACTGCAGTGATGTAGGGAAGAGATGACTGCTCGGGCCAGATGGTGAGGCTGGTCTAACCCGTGGCTCCTCTGCCAGTGCTCCCTGGAAGTGTAACAGGTGGCTGAATTTGGAATGGATTTTGAACATAGAATTAACATTTTTTTCTCAACGATTGGAAATATGTAAAGGGAGAGAGGAGAGAACAGACAAGAACAATTTCAAAGTTTGGGCCTAAATAACTAGAAAAAGCAAGTTGATATTTCTGGGATTGAAAGGGGGGTGGACATATCAAAAGTTTGTTTTGACCATTTTAGCCTTCGAAGTAGTCTATTAATGAAGACTATTAGATTACCAAGCAGAACTGGATATATATCAGCCATATGCAAGGCTGAAGGACTGGTCTAGGGGTAGAAATGGAGGAATCATCGCTGTAGAAAGGATCAGTAAAGTCATGGGGCTGGAGGAGAACACCTGGGAAGGCTGAATATAGAGAAAGGGCTTAAGTCTCTGCATCTCTGAGTTACTCCAGAATTTACTGTGAGGATGATGAACGGGAACAGCCAAAGTGCCTGGGGGAAAGGAGCCAGGAAAGTAGGAGAATCTGGAGTGGCATCTTAGAAGTCAAGGGAAGGAAGTAGTACAAAAAAGTAGAGGGACCCCATGCAGTGGACTTAACAGTTCAAGTCCAGTCAGAATTGGAAGTGGAAGTCTGTTGATGACTTTGACCAGAGAAGATTCTATTACTAAAAAAAGTTTTGAAATCACTCACCTAGAAAATATCTCAAGTTCTTGCTTCTCTAAATTTGTGATTCTAATATAGGCAAACTACCTTCTAGTCATTATATAAATCTAGGTATAATATCCAGTGTTGTTATGTTTAAATATTTAAGTCATACAAATGTTGACTTTAATGATCATTGTTTAATTATGTGATTGCCAGATAAAGCTTTTATAAAATGTTTCATTTGATTGCCTTCTTGTCTTTTGATATCATTAATTTATTGTGGAAAAGATATGAACTTTGGAAGTAGACACATGTTTCAGTCCAAATTCTACCAATTACTAGTCATGCAATCTTAAGCAAGTTAACTTTTCTAAATCCCAGTTTCTTTATTTGGACGATGACTTGATGATACTTATTTTATATGGTTATCCTATATAATAAAAGCCTAATATGCTAAGTATCTGGTTGGCCATTCAACCAATCAAAGCGTAATATGCTAATGATATGGTAAGGCTGCGCAACTGCTTTCTATGAAGTTCACTGACCACCAAGGGGCAGACAGTCAACTGGTCGACCAGTCGCCATGACATGACAACCAGGGGGCAGGCTCTCCAACTGGTAGTTTAGCTTCCTGCCAGAGTCTGGCTGATTGGGACCGAGCAAGACGGGCCGGACATGCCGTGGAGCCCTCCCATGGTCCTTCCCCAGCTGGCCAACCTCCCATGTCCCTCCCTGGCCCCAATCATGCACTGGGCCTCTAGTTATGAAGATAAAATGGGATAATATATATGAAGCATCCAGTAAACAACAAGGTAGCATAATGAATAAGAGCTCAGAATCTGAAAGCAGAGACCTACATTCAAATCCCAGCATTTACACACACTAGATATGAAAATCTGGGCAAGTTTCTCTTAAACCTCAGTTACCTTATCTATATCATGACTATAATAAAAATGCCTACCCTGTAGGATTAGTAGAATTAAATGAGATAGTGCATGAAAAACTTTTAAGTGTCTTACATAAAATGAGTGCTAGATAACTGGTAGATATTACTATTAGTAGTATTTGGTACAATTCTACTTACTATTATTCTTGCTGTTACAATTAATTAGAATAAAACCTTTGTTCCTTAGTATTGAGGGTCTTATTTTCCAACCAGACATAAATTGCTGTTAGTATTTGTTTTGGTTCATTATTGTCATTCATTACTAATGTTAAAAGTCTTAAATGATTAACTACCGAGTTTGACTTTCAAAACTGTGCTTATCTCCATATAGGGACATTTAAATGGATAGAGTCCGTAGAAAACACATATGGTAGGATTCCTCAGAAGTTATAATGTGAATGCCCAGGAACGGCTATCTTTTAGCCAGTTTGCTTGAAGCTGTGCTTATACGTCTAAATACCCCTTTGGATGAGGCAGTCGCACTATGAAATATTGAGAATTTTTAGATGGAAGCAAAGACAGTTTAGATCAGAGTATAAAGTATAAAGAACAGCCTTTACGTGAAAATACCAAGACAGAATTAAAAAAAAAGACTTTATATACTTCAAAGAGATAGTAGGAATCATCTGATTTTGTTCCTAATTTTATAAATGAGGGGCTATTGAATATCTGACACATTTGGTGATGTGTTTAGGGTTAAGGCCAAAGAGGAATAATTTCTAACTCTTTTTTGTTTTTAGCCTAAAATAGCCTGCTTTATTCACTTTTTTCTTTTTCTCTCTTTTTAAAAATAATTCTTTATTGTTGAAAGTATTACACATGTCCCCTATTGATCCTCTCCAGCTGCACCTGCCCTCCCACGCCCCAGGCCTTCAGCACCCTATTGTCTGGGTCCATGGGTTATGCATATATGCATGCATGGTCTTTGGTTGATTACCGCCCACCTACCCACACCCTTTTCCCCACCCTCCCTCTGAGATTCCACACTCTGTTCCATGCTTCCAGAAATACTGTCTCCAGTAAAGCATAATGCTTTCACCCATACGTGTTGTCAAAATAAAAACAAAGGAAATTTTTGAGAGGACTAAAGCGGTTCTTCTCGAATGATACAATTACTCTTCAAATGTGATGTAAAATTGAGGCTATCAATTTTATGCCGTAAGAGGTTTTTTTCTCGAATATTTTTTATGAACAGAAAACCTAGACAAGTATTTTTATTTAAAACAACTGCTAAGCAACTAATTTTCATGAGAGATTAACAGCTGAAATAATGGAGACATCAGATTTTTTAGAAGCAAAATATCTTAAATGATTTTTGTCAGATTTTCTGTAATATACTGGATATCAACTAATACAGTTCTTACTAAGTATGAAAAACTGTACATTTCTCAGTGAGCTAAAACAGTTTTAATATTTATATTTTAAAAATCAATTAAAATGTTCTAATGAAATGAGTGCACTAATAAAGCTACCTTATTTTGATAATGTGGAAAAGAGTGATTTAATATTTGATAGATTATTGTTGACTTATTTTAATAGACTCAGTAAACTTGGTAAACTTACTTGCTCTTATTTATAACTTTTGCTATTACATTGTGTGTATGTTTGTGCTAAACCTTTGAACAAGATATAAGTTCACATTGATATTAAGTTGCTGCCTACAGTTTACAGTAATATCAGCCCCTAACATTTACATCTATTATTTCTAGTTAACAAGTAATTATTTCATTTAAAAAACTCCAAATGGAGCTTATTTAATAGACTTTTCCATTATCTTCATGGTATAAAACTACAATGTACCAAAAAATCCCTAATTCCTCAGATTGTAATATTTGCTTCTTTGTCTTGTTTTTCTAGAGCTACATTCATGGAAGCAGCCAGGCCCAGTTCGTGGCTGAGTCCCACATTATTCTGGTACTGAGTATCCTTTAAAGGACTGATGATTGGAAAAGGAAAACTATGTTCTGTCAAATTAATTCTCTCCTGATAATAAATACCAAGACTTGTAAAATACATTATATTTTAAATTGGCTGTGTCTAATTTTCTGATTTCTATGCTAATTATTTCCTATTATACTTTTGGCTTTTATTCTGAATCATTAACAGTCTCTTAATTTTCTCTTTTTTACTGAGTAATGAAGTTAGAGCTTTTGCTCTGCCTCGGTTATCTCTGGCTAACGGTTATTTGTGAAACTTGTATGGTTTTCCCATAGGATCTTAATGGTGGGGGCCGGGGGGAAAGCATCCTATAATGTAAAAAGCAAGATGAAAAACATTATTTTAGTACTGGTCCCCTTAAATACTATGATCAGTCAGAAGAGGGAGACGTAGGACAGTTAGAAACCTCTTTCTGGAACATACCAGACCCATTGTTTTGAATCAGGTAATTCTGCCCAGTTTGGGGTCAAGAAGATAGCAGGATAGGAAGGAAGGAAGTTCAAGTATTTAAGACAAACTGAATATTCTCTGAGTGGGGAGTTACTTTTTAGGCAAACAACTGTATTTGGGGGAAACACTGAGGTTTGTGTGAGTCATGTGACGTTTTGACTTTGGAAATGAAGCTGGAGGAGAGATTATGACTCCATTTTATATTCCAGTGTCTTCTAAAGCTCACTGAGCAGCACTGACCCTCTTCTTCCTCGTACCAATTCTCAACCTTTTCATTCCTCCCACACGTGACCACACATACTTGGCGCATACATGGAATTGTGCATATCTGTAGTCCGTTTCTTGCCTGCATTTATTTAATTACCTCTATCTTTTATGGCTTCAAATTTAAGAAATGACTAAGATGAGTATTTTTGTGTGTGTGTTGTACTTTGCTTCTTAGATTGGACTTGGAAATAACCTACATTTTAGTAAACATTCTCAAATTTTGTGATTTTTCATCAGTAACTACAGGTTTCTGTGTTCTGACTTTAATATGGTAAGATATTAATCTTTTCTGCATATCAGAAGGGTTTTTAATGAGAAAAGGAAATATTTGCAAACATGTTTATAGGAACATCTCCATATCTAAAAATGTGGGTAAGGCCATATTTACTCTTACTTCATCTCTTAATTGCATGTTTATGAAGCAAAATACATTTGTGTTCAAGTATAATAGTAAGAAAAAATATTTGTTGCAGGTCACTTTTTAGCTCTTATTTATATATACACATTTTTTCTACCCTATTTCAATCCTTGATGTAGCATTTTAGCAGCATACTTTATTCAAAGCATCTAGTCTATTAAACACATCAGGAGTACCTCACAAAAGAAATGAAAGTTCCATTATATGGCAGGAATTCTCCAAGGTTCCATTTCATGGCTCATTGACATGAAGCTGAGATTTAGGATGCAAAGAAATTTCATAAGCAGTGTGAAGTCTTCCATATAGAGTTCTAACAGGAATACCTAAAAGAACTAGAAGTCCCTGTTCTCTTTCTGTTACCAGTAATTATTTATTGCTTTATTTCTGTTGTTTTATTTCATAGATATTTATGAAAAAGAAAATTTCTTTTAAAATGATAGACTCACTAAAATTATCAGTAAAAGTTAAGAAGCCATTATGTAATAATTTGTGATTTTACTTTTATTTGGCAGTCTGCTAATTTTTTAACACTATATATTTTTCTCTTGCAATTTATGTATTTTTTCCCTTATGGGAAAAAAATTCCAGATGGTTACTTTTTATCTGTAGAGACCATTTCTGCCTTTTGTTTTTCTCCTCTTAATTTAGTAAGCCAGGTGATTAGATGCAATGGCTATGTACAAACGTTTGTTGGAAAAAACCTAAGGAAGAACAGATGGAGTTGGTTGTTGTCATAGGTTATATACTTATATTTACTACAAATGTTTTTCTCCCTATTAGTAGTGTTTTATTTTCTCTGTTTCTTATTTAGGGAAGAAAAAGGAACAATCCTCAGTAGTCTATGAGAGAAAACTATCTAAAAAGTTTAAGAAATATTACGGCATTTTAATACAGATATGGGAACCAAGAAGAATTTATATAATCCTTTATGTTTTCCCAGTAAAAATTTATTTTTCTTTCATTTACTTTTCATTCAGTTATGTTTCAGTACCTGATGCAAATAAGATATTTGCTATTTACAAGAAAGTAGAAAGATAGAAAAAGAATTATCCTGCTTTGTAGCCAGTGCTAAAATCAGTGCTCGGACGCAGCAAGAAAGCAGAGAGCACCTGGATGCCCAGGTAGTTCAACTGACTGTTGGGTTCATTTTGCCACAGTAGCCAAAGAAGTTTCCCTGTTGGAGAATAAGTGAGGGAGAATATTCCAGTAGGAGGCACAACAGGTACAAAACATAACATGAGAATATTCACAAATTGTGAAGAGATTTGTTTGGGTAATGAAAATGTACACATGCCTTGCTAAGAAACTTGAACCTTATCTGAATTCACCAAGCTACAGTCGATGTGTGCCAGTGGGTACAGGACACACGAGGCATTGTATTGGCTTTACTGCCAACTATACAAACTCTGACCTGTCCCATGATTCCCCATGTCCTTTAAGTTCTGAGATCTAAAGATGGCATAGATAAGTATCAGTTGGAAGTAAAAGTGCTAATATAAAAGGCAAAGGCTATACTAGCGATATATATTCTTATAAATATCACATTTGTTTTTCATTTGAGAAAACATTTGTTTTCCATTTATCATGAAAGTTTGATTCTGCATTTATTTTCAATCTGTGATAGAGAAAAATGTTTATTTTAATGTGTTATATCGAAGAAAAAAACATTATAGGAGAAAATTAATGATGGATGCAAGTTGAAGATAATTTTAGATTTAGATCCCTTTAAGTCTTCTGTAATGTGCTCATATATTTTTCAACTTCTGTTCTCATTCATCTTTAAATTGGCAATCGTGATTCTCTTCCTGGAGCAACAGTGAACCTAACATCATGTGCAATTGAGAATGAATTATAATGCAATACAAATGCATTTGTTATTAGTTCAGTAGGATGCCCAGTGCCTTTGGTTATTATATATAATTTACACAAATAGCAGCTTCTAGTGTATGTGGGATGCCAGTGTTTTGACTTTTTAAGCAATAAGATGATGATTGGCAGGCTCAGAAAAGAAACTGTGCAGTCTGCAAGTAGTTGAAGTACTAGTATATATTGCTACAATGTTAATTCAAATGTGCAAAATAATACATGAACCAGACCGTGTGTGTGTGTGTGTGTGTGTGTGTGTGTGTGTGTGTAGGCATTAACTATCTCAGAACAATAGAACAAGTCTCAGAAACATTATAGTTTATCCACTATATACTTACATCTCATATACTCTTTTAATGTTGTGCCAAAATGGCCCAGCCATAATTTTAAAGGCAGAAAAGCATCTGTTATCCCAGAGTTAGACATAGAATCTCCCCAATATCTAGGGGCTTTCCTTAATTATTCAACCTCCCACCCAATGAAGGAAGCTCTACATATCAACTCTGACAGATGAACATCTAGCTTCTTCCTCTGTTTAAAAATTAATCCTTCGTGTACAAATGTTCGTTACAAATGTGAATTATTTTTCTCAAATGACAAGTATTATGTAGACTCTTTTTTCTTAATCCAAAACTTTTGTTTCCTTGGATACTATGGAACTTAAGCCCAATTAATTCTCAATAATCAAAGATCTTACATTTAAAAAATATTTTTAAATAAAAGAGGGAGAGTTGGTGAGTTTAAAGCCATTTTAGTTTAATTCTTATATCTTAATTTTAACCATCAAGTTTAAAGTAGGTTCACAGCTCATTTCTCAATACTTTTGCAGGAAACATTCTGAGAATGAGATCATACTTATTATCTGACCCTACTGCTTTCGAATAAGGTATTTTACTTGGGTGTTATACACAGCCTGTATCTAGACACCTCTTTGCTTTAAAATTCGTATTTTAGGGTTATATGTACAAAGGTTTACAAAGTTTTGCATTTCTTTATATACGCATTTATGAATATGAACTTTCCTTTCAGAAGGGATTCATAGAGATCAGAGCAGGAATAAATGAAATATAAACCAGAAAAACAATAAAAAAAAGATCAAGGAAACTAAGAACAAGTTATTTGAGAAGATAAAATTGCCAAACCTTTAGCTAGCCTAACAACAACAAAAAAAACACCCTAGTACAGCCTTGGGCAAACTACAGCCCTCGGGCCAGATCCTGCCCGTTTGAAATGAATAAAACTAAAAAAAAAAAAAAAAGACCGTACCCTTTTATGTAATGATGTTTACTTTGAATTTATATTAGTTCACACAAACACTCCATCCATGCTTTTGTTCCGGCCCTCTGGTCCAGTTTAAGAACCCATTGTGGCCCTTGAGTCAAAAAGTTTGCCCACCCCTTCCTAGAAGATCAACTGATACTGCAGATATAAAGAGGATTATAAGACATTCTAGGAACAATTATATGCCACATAACCTAGAAGTGGATACATTGCTAGAAACACACACTCTACCAAGACCAAATCAGGAAGAAATAGAAAAATCTGAACAGACCAATAATGAGTAAAGATACTGAATTTGTAATAAAAAATCTCCCAACACAGATTTCCAGGACCAGATAGCTTCACTGGAGAACTCTACCAAACTTTTAAAGAAGAATTAACACCAATCTTTCTTAAATTCTTCTAAAACTAAGGAGTAAGGAACACTTCCAAACTCATTCTAGGAGGCCAGCATTACCCTGCTACCAAAGCCATATAGGGTACCACAAGAAAATTATACTAATATACCAGTATCCCTGATGTATATAGATGCAAAAGTTCTCAACAAAATATTAGCAAACCAAATTCAAGAACACATACATAGGATTGTACATCATCCACCAAGTAAGATTTGTCCCTGGGATGCAAGCAGGGCTCAACATATGAAAATCAATAAATGTAATATATAATACTAGAGGCCCAGTGTGTGGATTCATGCATGAGTGAGGTCCCTCAGCCTCCCCAGCAATTGGGGCTGGCCAGGGGGAGGGACCGTGGGAGGTTGGCTGGCCATGGGATTTTGCTGTGGGAGCACACTGACCATCAGAGGGCAGCTCCTGCATCGAGCATCTGCCCCCCTGGTGATCCGTGCACGTCATAGCTACTGGCTGGTCATCAGGTCATAAAACCCTAAGCAAACGTTCAACCAGTTGACCAAACAGCCAGTCACTATGACGTGCACGGACCACCAGGGCGCAAACACTCAATGCAGAAGCTGCCTCCCGATGGTCAGTGCAATCCCACAGCCAACCTCCCACTGTCCCCCATCCCCCCTCACACCCCTCCTGGCCGGCCAGGCCAAGGGAACCCCACCTGTGCACGAAATTGTGCACTGGGCCTCTAGTATATAGATAAGTTACAAATTCAACAATGCAATGTTGTTTTCGCTTTAAATAGCTACCTTTTAAAAATATTAAGAGGCGAGAGAAAAATTATATATTTTAAATTTACCCTGATGCTTTTCATTTTTTTCTATAGATCTGTGTTCCTATCTGGTATAATTTCCTCAGACATAAATAACTTCTTAAGCACTGTTGTAGCTGAGATATTCTCTCAGCTTTTGCTTATATTAAAATGGCTTTATTTCACCCTCATTCGGAAGAATATATTAGATGTTGAATTCTGGGTTCACAATTTTGTTAGCACTTTAAATATATAATTTATTTTGTGTTGTTGTTTCATTGATTTGGATGAGAAGTTGGCCAAAACAGCACTTTCTCTATATGTAATACTTTTTATTTTTCTGCTGCTTTCAATATTATCAATATTAAATCTTTATCTTTGGCTGTGGTGTGCCTAGATGGGGCTTCTTTGAATTTATCTTACTTTGGGCTTGCTAAGCTTCCTGAATCTGTGAGTAATATATGTGTGTATGTGTGTGTGTGTGTGTGTGTGTGTTTTAAACTAAATGTGTGCTAACATAAAAACATTCAAACCTGTAAAAAAAAAAGAAGAAGAAAAGAGCAAATGGGCTTTGTGCTCAGATAGCTGCCTTGAATTCTGGCTCCAGCACTATTAACACCTTGTTCTAGTTAGTAGACCTGTCTGTGAGTTGCGTTATCACAATGTACAAACAAGAATTAAAACAGTACCCACCTCACAGCATTGTTAAGGGGCTGAATGAGAGGAATCCCTGTATGGTGTTCAGCCCAGTTGCCTGCATACAGTTGCTTCTTCCCTGTGTTTCCTTCTAGCAGTTTTATAGTATCAGATCTATGGTTAAGTCTTCGATCCATTTAATTTTGTAAATCATATTTTCCCCAGGAATAGAAATCATGCCACTTCCCCCATGAATTTCTTATTGAAATTTCAGCAACTACTTAGCAGATGAAATCATAAAATGAGTATTTTATTTATAATACCTACATAAGGTCATTTTAAAACATTTCATATATTTGCAAATATGTGTGATAGTAACTATGTATAATCATATGTGTAGATTAAAATTTATACATGAATAAAAAGGGTGTTTCCAGAGAAAGATGAAAGGAGAATCCTAACTTGACTCCTTAATAAGGACTTACATAGTCATATCCGTCTGCTCCAAAGCACCAAGCAGTAGAAATTACCCACATAGGAACAGGTTGAATGATACAAGCTTTTAATTTTTTCTCTCATTACTAGCAATGCCCTATGACTATGGACTCAAGGGAATTTACATCAGTAGACTGTCTAAAACACCTTAAGAATAATGAACCCTTAAAATCCACAGATTTATATTGGTAGCATGAAACATTCATTCTCTTACACGATTCTTTCAGGCCATCACTACATGATTGAAACCCAAGGAATTTAGTAATTATCTAAATTTCGTTGGTTTTCAAACTGTGTATAATGGACCCCTAAAAGTTTAATGGTAGTATGTAATGTATATACATGTATTGGGTGGGGAGGCCGGGGTGAGGGTGGGAGGGTGATGCTATTGCACAGGGCTGATAGCAGCTTTTTCTCTTGTTACTTTAGACTTCTGACCAAACTTGGTTGGTTTTATGCTGAATATATTTTAATCTTCTATGACTGCCAATGCAATGTATCATTGTGATTCTATATTATCTATGTATAATGTGAAATGTCATTATTGGTTTTTGAGAGTCCACATAAAGCATACGTGCTGTGAAGGTCCTGGAATTTAAGAGCATTTCAATTACTTGCAAAGTCTCACAAGGTTTAAGGTTATATATTTTAAAAATCAAGTTAGCCCTAGCTGGTTTGGCTCAGTGGGTAGAGTGTCAGCCTGCAGACTGAAGGGTCCCAGGTTCGATTCCAGCCAAGGGTAAATGCAGGCTCGATCCCCAATAGGGGGCATACAGGGCAGCCAATCAATGATTCTCTCCCATTGATGTTTCTATCTCTCCCTCTCCCTTCTTCTCTGAAATTAATATTTTTTTAAAAATCAAGGTAGATTTAAATACACAAAGAATGATAATTTTCTTTTTTCTGCATAGAATAAATTGTATTTACCTCTGTGTGCATTTGTAATTTAAGTATTCCACTACGGAAAACATTGTGTTCAGATCCAAAAAAATAATATGTTTTATTTGCATCCATTGCTACTGTTTCCTTGACAATTACTATAGATGCTGCTATCACCATGGGGATGGTTCTTCTAAATGAAGCGGCAACATCCAAAGGAGATGTTGGAAAAAGACGAAGTAATTCTCTGTTGTTGTTGGTTTTTTTTGTAATTTTGTTTTAGACTTAAGATTCATTTAAATCAAACGAGGAATATAAAAGTTCTTTGTAAACATAAACTAAAGAAATGTTCTGGTTGAGGAACGTTGCAATGTTTTTTACTCTTCTATTCTTAGATGTACTCAAATAATTAAAAATATATCCCTTCCGAATGGGTTTGGGTGACTTTCTGTGGAACTGCAGAGAAAGGAGAAATTCTCTCCACCCTCGTCAGGGTGTTCTGCCCAGCTCCATGGAGGATCTAGTCCTGGAGTACCATGCGTCCTGCAGGGAGAGGTGGGGCTGCTGGGGGGAGCCTGAGAGGTGTATTGTCAAATGGTAGGTCCTCAATGCCATGGGAATCAGGTGTGCATTTCTGAGCCCTTTTTAAACCCAGAACTTATGTATGAGGAGCACAGGTGCCTGAAAAAGGCTAACGTTTTATTAAGAACCTTTTTTTTCTTCCTTTGAAAAAATGAAAGATGAATAATTTATTTAAAATAAAAGACTTATTTCCTTTATGGGATAATAGCTAGGGTAATATGATTGTTAGTACATCATAGTGATTTCTGAACACTTAGGTATCATAAGTGTTGAAATGTATTGGGTGAAATATACAGTTGAGTTTACCTTTTCCCATGATGTTCTCAACACACCAGTTTGAGGAAATATAGAGGAAATAAACATGTTACTTTGTTTAGCTAAGCATTGTTCAGATATATCACTTCATGATATATCTTTTAAATAAACAGTGGGCTGCTCTTTGGGTTGATAAATAACATGAGGCAAATTCTTATGTGATGATATATTACCATATATCCTATCATATCAGGCTAAATAATAGTAATAAGTGTGTATTAATATTTTAATCATAATGTCTATGAAATCATTAATTTCAACTTTTCTCTTGGTCGATTTTATATATATATTTCTCCAACCCCCACTGCCAAATTATTTGTGTGTGTATGTGTGTGTGTGTGTGTGAGAGAGAGAGATTGATTATATTTTTAAATTATTTCCCTTATTCTGGTAGAATTGATATAATACAACTGTGATTATCATTGACCAGGTCATTGACCAGGTCAGAATGTTTCTGTGTCATAGCATTTGCTTCTTACAAGTATGTTATCTGGGATGGGCTACAGTGATTCATTTAGTAATTACGAACTCCTCACCAACCATTTAATTCCTCTCCCTATCCATATACAAATATTTGGTTGCATTATTTTATTCCACTGCAGGAAATCAAGTAAATATGTATTCACATATTTTGAGCCTCATTTCCCACTGAGCATACTAACCAAACAAGGCTACTAAGAGTGACAAAGGGAGTGAAAAGTTTTATTCAGCGTCTGAAAAGTTTTTTAAAATAAAAAAGGAAAAGAAGTGTTCGATAAAAGTACTAAATGTAGGAAGATATAAAGTAAAACATCATACAGTTAAGTCTGAGTTTAGTAAGGCTGTTGTAAGCTATGTTGTTACATGCTCCATCTAGTGCCTGGTGTCCAGCATACTTGGATATTCTACACTATTTTTAAAAGTGTTTTTCATTTTGTGATATTGAGTACCTTTTTTTTCTTCCTTTGAAGTTCACCTATATGGCCTTGTCTGAAATGAAATGTCACAGAGACTACAATTGAATGCTATTAAGCACTTATGACTTATTTTGTACTCAAATCAGAATGATATTCCTACAAAGTTGAATGAGAACTGACTAACAGATTTCTAGGCCATTATTTTGAGAATACCATACCATATATATACTCCCTTTTACTCTCCAAGCTTTTATTCTTAGCTTTTTATACATCATAATGAATTGTCAGTAACAGGCTTTTACTGATGCAATAATCTAAAATTATTTTCATAAATACTGCATGGCCCTGAGAATAAAATTATATTTAGTATTCCAATAATGCAGATGTCTTTGCTAATAGAGCTAATGCTTCATAATACAGGGATAGTTTCATCTGTGGTTTATCACATATTTTGTTTGTTTTTATCCCCTGGGGCATTTTAGTACTTGTAGGAACTCTGTAAGAGAGGAAAACTATCAGAAGATTTAAGTCAGTCACTTTGGTTATTTTCATACCCAAAACATACCCGCTCATTGGGAAGAATGTGTAAAACAGTGAATCCATTGTATTTTGGATTATCTGATTTGTTGTATCTGTATGTGCCATGAAATATTGATATAAGTACACTGCAATTACTGAATGCATTTTTAAATGTAGACACTTGGGTTGCATGTGTCTAGACATTAATGGTATTTTCTGTCTCTCTAGTCATTTGCCTGGTGGGATTGGGCCTGGTGGTCTTCTTCTTCAGCTTCCTTCTTTCAATATTTCGTTCCAAGTACCACGGCTATCCTTACAGGTAATATCATTATACTAACGTGACTGTTTTCATTCTTAATAGAATAAACAGAATTTCAATGGTTAATTTATATTCAAGGGTTGATGTAAATAACTAGCTCATTTTCCCAGATTTTAAACTCAGTTAAGCAAGTGTGAGCACCTCCTATGCGTTCAGCATAGATTGTACAAAGGAGATAGAAGACATGGTCCCTGCTCCCAAGCAGAGTATATTATATTATATATATATATATATATATATATATATATATATATATATACTTATATATTTATATATTTATATATTTATATATTTATATATTTATATATTTATATTATCCTATATAATAAAAGCCTAATATGCAGATTGTCCCCTTGGGCAGTCATTCAACCGAGAGTTCGACCACTCGCTATGACATGCGCTGACCAACGGGGGTGGCACAGAACATGGTGAGTGTCGGCGATTTGGCCCTGGCAGTGGGCAGCAGTGAAGGCTCTGCTGGCCCTGATGGGCCCCAATGAGAGTAGGACCACGGCAGGATAGTGGAGCAGGTGAGCAGGCGACACCAGGCCATGCTGGGTGTGAGCGGGGGCCTGATCGCCCCACTGATCACCCTGAAGACGGCAACCAGCAGTGGTGGTGGGGGCCTGGCCCTGATCAATGGTCCCACAAGCAGATGGTGGAGCAGGTGAGGGGGTGGTGCCAGGCCAAGGCGGAGTGCCAGGTGGGGCTATGGGGCTGGGGGGCACAAGCTGGGGCTGCAAGCTGGGGCCTGATCCCTGCAGGTCATAGCATTTGCTTCTTACCAGTATGTTATCTGGGATGGGCTGCAGTGATTCATTTAGTAATTATTATATGTGTGTGTGTGTGTGTGTGTGTGTATGTGTGTGTGTATACACACACATACACACACACGTGCATATCCATATAACAAAATGGGTTTTAAGCTTTGTTGAATTCATCAAAATTTCTTTTTCTTTTAGATTATCTATCTATCATGGCTTTGACTGCATTTTCAGTTTTTTTTTCTCATATAATCTACTGTTAAGTTTTTACTAAACTTTGCATCATCTTTTGAATTCTGCAAAGTTTTAGCTTTTTCAAATAAGAAAAGCCAACTTGAAAGGAAAATTAAATGATACAATAATCTCTGGTGACTAGAGTTGTCATAATGAATATCTCATACAATTTCCACCAACATATTGTCATGATTGGAGGTAGGAAGTTGTTGAAAATTAATTCTCATATCACCTCATTATAACCAAACTTTAGACTTTTACTAGAACCTAATACATTTGGTGAGCAAGATTATACTTGGTCATTTCATGAACTAGGCACAAATTTACTTCTTGAGCATATTCCTTCTTCAGCTTCTCTTAGAGAATAAATGTTTTACTTTCTCTACAGAGTCCTTCTAATAGCATAATCCATCCTTCTCTTAATTAGGGGGTAAAGGGCCTATATTTCCTTTTGCAGTTAAAACTGCTGAGTCAGTGCAACTAGTGATACATTGATAGAAAGTAAAATCTCGTCAGACCTTACATCTCTTCCACAGTGAACCGTGCAGTAATCTTAAGATGGTTTATGTGGATGATGGCAACAGTACACGGCTTTATCTGAGGGACAAAACTTACCCCGTAACGGGGAGATCTGCCTGTGGTGCTTCAGTGGAGGAGTAAGCCTCTTCAACCCCACCTGGCAGAGGCTCGGTTCAGTTCTCTTCTTCCCACACGGGAAAGATAAATGTACTCAAGGAGTGGAGAAATGTAACATACCTGAGCTGTGGGATCATCTGCCTTAAATCCTGACTGCAGTGTAAATGAGTTATCAGACACATTAGCTCCCAGGGCAGCTAGAGTAATAAAAAGGGCAAGTAAAGTCTCCGGTTTCTTCATTTTGTTCTTAACATTATTTAGCCAGCCAATTTTGGTTTTGAAAATGTGATCAGGCTAATCAAATCTAAAGTTAAGTATGTCCAAGAAAGAGAAAGCTGCGTTTTTCTCTTTCCCCTACCCTAGGATTGAGAATCATGGCTCTGTATGATTTGAGTCTCAGTTTGTAAATGAGTATTTGTATTCCCTTTAATTTCTTTTTTATCTATGATGCCAAAAACACTGAAAAAAATTAACTCATTTCAATCTACAGCACTTACAATATGCCAAAGAAAAGGCGTCTCTTTTTATTAAAGGTAAAAGACAGAAAAGGGTGGTGTTAGGAGATTTTTTAAACCCTATTTAGTTGACAGTCAGGAAATGGGGAAGGTGAGGAGCAAATTCTGGCTTTCCTTGTGTACCAGGTACCTACTTATGCTCCATCTACACTGTTCTCTGACGTAGCAGAGTAATGTGTAGGGAAAATAGAGAAAATTAAGTTTTTACTAGTTTCATTGCATAGTATTACATTTGACGGCACTGATTTTGTTAGGCTGTGAAGAATTTTCTTCAAGTCGGTACTTTTTCCCACGGAGTAGGTGTCATTTAACAGAATTCTCTCCAGTCCTCTAGATCTTCACCAGGAGAGGACATATAAATCCTCAGGAAGTTTTCAAATCCAGATTCCAGGTCTCCCCCTAGGTACAGAGTGAGCATTTCTGACCCGCAGCCCGTGCTTGCTAATGTGATGTCTCCATGAGTGTGGCATTGAGCCTCCTGACTATGTGACCATTCCCACTCCCTTGTCAAGGCCCCACCAGGTTAAGCAAGGGACAGGCCTGCCCTCAGCGGGCCTCCTGGGGCTGGAAATGGAAATGACATCTCCTGTGAGAGTCGGAGATGGAAGTCATGCCCAGGAGTGGCTGTGGATATGCAGTTGCACCTGATTCAGATGAAAACCCTAAGGAGGAGCTGGCGAGAAACAGTCAGACAGAGCCAGGCAGAGAGCTGGGGAAGGGGAGGCAGATCCTGGCACTGCAGCCGCTTCTCCAAGCCCTGGCATTGCCTGTGCAAAGAAATACCCGATTCACAGAACTACGACCATCATTTGTAAACTAATTTTCCACTTTCCTCACAATTTTGGATTCTGTTAAATCTACAATCTTTAGTTTCTTCTATATAGAGTGATCTTTTTACTTCATTTTTATTTTCTCTTAAACCTCACAAAACCTTAAACATTTATACCATTCATATTTTCTCAGTACTTCATACTGGTATTTTTTTTTGTCAGTCTATATGCTGAAGAGGATAAAAGTCTACTGTAAATTTATCCTATGTCCATAAATCTTCCCCACATTTTTAGTCTTCAAGGTTTTTTTCCTACAGTAATAATGTTTCATACCATCACTCAGTTCTCCCAGATTGTCTTTTAAGTTTTTAAACTTCCTGATTTAAATCCCTGATCTGCTTGTTACTAGCTGTGTCCTTTGACAAGTTACTTAACTTAAACCTTGGTTTCTCTTTTATAAATGGAAAAATTTTACATATTTCTTTTGCTTAGCATAAGGATTGCATGAGAGAATGCATGTAAGATCAATGGCACATTGCCATTATTAATTACTCAGTGGCACATATTAATTACTCAATAAATGTTTGAAGCTAATTATTATCATAATTAATTCTGATGTAAATATTTTAGACTCATTTATATCTAATCTACCTTTTTCTAACCAGGATTTTTCGTTACAGTGAAGGTTAAGTAACTTGTTTGCATGATTGAGTTGAGTGAAGTACAGATTTTCCATCAAAATTCCCTTTTGATGAATATAATCGGACTCCTGAGTCTCTTGAAACTACCAGTGAAACATCCATCTTAAGAATTTGATCTAATTACCATCTGAACCATAGTTCAAAAAAAAATTTATTGCAGTGGTAGCACTGAATCTGTTTTGGATATTAAATAAAGATTAACTTAAGGGTTTGTCCTATTTACTAATAAGAACAAAATGCTAATAGCAATACATGATAGTGTTCACTTATGGGTAATTACTTTCCCAATATTTTCCACTGCCGTTTTCACTCACGGTGAAGTTTTCTTCAAAATATTTCTGTAAAAATATTTATGACATATCAAGTCTCAAGTAGGAAAATAACATGAATCATCCTAATTCTGTCACGTTGCTTCCTGTTTTTAAGACTCATAGGAAATAATATTTAGAACCAGAAGATCTCAGCTCAAGTTCAATATATAATTTTGTATATTAGTTAATATACAAATGAGAGGTTGGATCTAAGAACCTCTCTTTGCTAACATTGGGACTTAGAGTTAATTGTACTGTTTCATTAGAGTCTGATGATGTTTTTATTATACATTCTTTCTGGTTCAATATAATGAAGTTATACATTTCATAAAAATCATCAATTGTTTATATTATGTAAGTAAATGAATTGTAAACTGAATGATAAAAATATTTAGGACATTGAAATTACCCACTTTAAATGTTTATTTCAGTCCATTCCTTTATTTCCCCTGTATTACCAGTTTAAGTGATTAACTATTGGTCTAGCCAAAGAGAGTGGCCCACAGAAATAGTGTGTTTTACCCAAACTTCACCACACAAGTTTAAGTTCTTATCAGCATCTTCGCCCACCACTGACCTACATTGAATCCCAGCCTGACCCCATTACTGGGAACTAATTCAGCACAGTTACCTGCATATAACTATTAAAATGAGATGAATTAATGTAATGATGACATTTTTTGTTATGTTTATAGGTACTAATTTAGAAAGGGATAAACAGCTATTGTGTTTTTCTTACTTCCACTCATCATAATTTTTCTTTTTCAGCTTTTTAATTAAATGAAGCCAAATGGGATTTCCATAAAGTGAAAGTTTACCATGAAGATGAAGTGATCCTGACACTCTACTTTGAATTCTTCAGTACATTTCCATGTTGATTGTGATAATGTAGCTTATTCTTGTGAAATTTTATAAATGTGAGATTTCCCAGTGAATTTAATTTATAGAAATGTGTGGTTAAATTTAATATTAGCACTGGAAAGAACAAAGTAAACACTGACGTGTTTTTCAAGCATATCATCATATTCAGTGTGTGCTCCAGGACTGAAATAAATGACAATGTGTCAATTCATGCTTAAATGTTCACTTATTAGTAAGGAAAACCACCGCGCTACTGAGGGGAAAACTAAGATGTGTGTGTTAATAAATTCCTAGGGCTGTGCAGAGATAAGATTTGTGCATGAAAATATGTCATGTTCTGAAAAATTATATTTATTGCAGTTTCAAGTTAAAGGATATGTATGGTTATATAGTGTTTTGTTCTAATTAGTCCTAACTAGAGGAAGGTGTGCAGGACAGGGAGCTGGGTGACTAGTACCTACAACTTGGATGCCTAACCTGGGAAAGATAGGTTCTTTCCATTTATAAATCTAAAGCAAACGTGACTAAAGCAACATGCCCCAAAGGCACCGGCAGTGGAAGCGGCACCCGGACTAAGAATTCGTTCCTCTCCCACTTCAGAGGTGTCATCTAGGAATCCAGACTTAGAGCCACAGAACTCACCCTTATTTCCCCCGCGTGGCCATCAAAACCTCATTCCCTGAATTACCCTGATATGAGTGAGTGACTCAGGGAAGCTGTTTTGAAAACCAAATATTATGTTTGCATATCCTGTTTCTGATTGTTTAGACAGCACCTTCTCATATGTTATGGAGTTTTTTCCTTCACAGCAATTCTGTATATTAGACAGGAAATGAAAATTTTGTCTGACTTATAGAAGTATTACAAGCTGAAAGCCAAAAAGAATAAAAAACAGAGCTTGTAGCTAGACTTTTAAACCTCAAACCTGAATTTTTACTTCTGTGGTGCTACCCAAAGAAGGAATTAGAAACAGTCCAATAAGCTTTTTGTGTTTCCTCATTAGGCTTTGTTATCTAATTTTCATTGAGATCCAAATAATAGACCACGAACAACTCTGTTAGCTATATTCTCAAACAGGAACCAGTGTACATCCACAGAATTTACTTATTTTGTACGTATGAAATTCAGTAAAGAATGGAAAATATAAAAGCATACAGGAGCATATTAAGTTCAATCCCAGGGCAATATCTGTGCTAGCAGTATGAAACCTCTTTTTTCAAAACATGATGATATTCAATAGTGAAAAGTTATGTAATTCAGAACTATGTTAAACTTATCGCCAAATCTATTATTAAAAACCATATTAATTCCCCTAGTTCCTGTTCAAATATTGATAAATTTAGTATTGGACAGCATTTATGGAAGGGCAATAAGGGAACACAATTATTGACTTAATGCCTATCACTAGGTAGCACTTGACCTGTGAATCTCAATCCATTGAGCATTTTCACGTTCTAAAGTTCATGCAGAACAGACATATAGTTGTAGTTTGCCAAATTTTATGAACACTTATTTATTAAGTATAATTACGTGTATTTGTCCTTTTAAAGCTCTCAATTCTTCCAGTTAGTGTGCAATGGACTAAATGATATTAACACATGTTTATTCTCTCTATAAAACTTAGTAGTGTGTAATCATGAGCAAAGTCAGTTCTCAGATACTGTGATCCAGGTGAAAAGAACCTCCCTGCCCCATATTAGCAAAAGTTTTCCAGCCTAAATTATATAATTTTCTTTGAACATTAAATACCTGCCACTATAGAAACAGTGGGGTTTTTGTTTGTTTGTTTGTTTTCAGAATTCTGTCATTTCAAAAGCTATTGATTCTCCATAGGCAATAGTTCCTTGAGGGAAGTGATTCTAAAGGGAAATAGACTGCCTCGAGATTAGTCATTATTGTTAAGTTCTACGGGCAAAAATTCCAAAAACATATTGGCTCAAATGTAGTTTGCTTTCAGAATGTAATGTGCAAAGTCACATCCATGATATACGATATCATTACCTTTGCCAAACAATTTAAATTGAAAAGTTAATTTGTGTGTGGTAGGTTATATCCTCTAAAGTCACTTTTCAACCAGATGCGCTGTATTAAAGATTCCCTTAAAAATATGTTTAACAATCACCAGATAGGGTTAAAAAATTTCTCTTCTACTAAATTTTAGAGAAAAATCCTAATATAATATTCCATCAAAGAGAGTTTCATTTTATAATAACATATGATCAATAACGTGTTGCATTTTTCTCAGCACACTGTTCCTTGCATTAGGTATTCACGTGAGTAAGCCCAATACTGTTGTGTGTTTACTGTAATTTTCTTTTGCATATAAAGTATTATTCCGTGTCAGCAAGCATGGTGATTTGGGGAGATTAGATTTTGTAACTGCAGATATTGACAAGTATTTCCTTTCTTGCTATCATGAGAACCATCCTAAGGGTACATGAAGGGAATGGTTATTCTAAGTAAGGCACGACATTGTCGAGGTCAGTGACATTAAACATTGTGTTTTAACGTCGTGATAGGGGCAAACACATTAGCTAGAGCATCTAGGGACAAAACATTTCAATGAACTCTTTGAGATTTAATGTTCCTCAGAGTCCACAGAGCTCATTACCTTTAAAATATGAAAACGAGATGTTTTTCATCTTCCAGCAAGAAGCTGTATTGGGTCAGACCAATAACATAGCTAATAATGTGTTTTTCTAGTAGTAGGAAAGGGTCAGCATAGTGGCTGGTTACATTTAAACAATACAAATATGTGCATATTAGCCCCTAAATTCTCTTATTTAATTCACGAGCACCTAACGTGAATTTTGCATATTCCTTTTGTTAATCTTAAATGCCTGAAATATATACAAATGTTCATATCATGTAACTGTAGAGTCCTTATTTACAGCTAATAAAACATCACAATTTTAGACTGTAAAAGGAAAATGTCACTTTCACCTAATTGTTGGTGTATGTATTTACTTACATTAAAAATTATGCATATGGCTTTAGCTGGTTTTGCTCAGTGGATAGAGCGTCAGCCTGCGGACTGAAGGGTCCCAGGTTTGATTCCGGTCAAGGGCACATGCCTGGGTGATGGGCTCCATCCTCAGTGGGGGGTGTGCAGGTGGCAGCCGCTCAATGATTCTCATCATTGATGTTTCTATCTCTCCCTCTCCCTTCTTCTCTGAAATCAATAAAAATATATTGGAAAAATAAAAAAATATTATGCATATGTGTCAATGAAAATGGTAGAATGAGGAACTCTGGGGACCACCCCCCTCCATATAAAACACTGGGGAGGGGGGACTAGCAAAAACGGTCAGAATCAATTTTGTTGAAAGTCCAAAAAATAGTGCAAGGTGTATACAGCAACATAGTGAATACTTAGCAATAAAAAGATGACTGAAACCCAGTGGTATAGCTTAATGGCATTTTTGTTATTTTCATCACCTCCTCCATGGTCAGCGGTGGTCTTGAAAAATGGCAGCCTGTATTACTAGCATGGGTGTCTAATTCTACAGGGAACAGAATGGACCTTCTTCCCATGGATGGTATTTGTTGTGGCCTGTTCAGAGATTCCCAGTAGTTCTGATGCAAGGGGCTTGCCTTTATTTCACCTAACTCAGGAAGTTGGAAAAGTAGCTGTGCAGAAAGAGTATTTGCCTAAAACATTAACGGTAACTGAACATGCTGCTGCCTGGGGCGAAAGATAACAGTTGGGACAAACAGGCAGCTGAGGTCAGGGAGGGAAAGCTGGGGAGGGAAATGCTTTGGGCAATAAGGGCTTTAGAAAGCGCCCACGTAGTCTAAGAGGAATCTAGAAGGACATGCCCATATCCAGGACAGGATGCATGCTCAGAAAAGACTAGAGAAGACCCTAAGCTTTCACCCCTTGCTGATCTGTACCCCCAGTCCAAGCAGAAATGAAGGATAAAGTAGACTTGTAAACACCATGGATAAGTGTAGATTGGCCCCACACAGCCAATCTAGAAAGATCAGGAGAATATTTTCTTTTGTTTTCCTTTTTTCTTCCTGTCTCCAGGCTTTTCAGGAAAGCTCTGTCAAACCACGAGGTGACCACTGAACCAACAATGTGGAATTGGAAACTTTACAGATCACACACGACTATAGTTTATACAAGCAGTTTAGGACAGTCACTCCACAGCCACAACCCACAACAAGCAACAAAAGCTAACTCTGGAGAGGGAGCAGAATCCAATTTCCAGAGCTGCCATGATATTCAGAATGGCCAGTTTACAAAGAAAAGGGGGCAACATACAAAGAGGAATTCAAACAAGAAAGCATTGTTCATTCACAGGAAAGAAAGAAATGAAGGGAAACTGTTCTTGAGGAAGCAGACAGTGGACTTGCTAAATCAACACCGTAACTGCGTAATGTACTCAAAGAGCTAAACGAAACCATAGACAACTAAAGGGAAAACATGGACAATGTATCTCCAAATAAAGAACATTAATAAATAAATAACTGAGTCATACAAATTCTGGTGTTGGACAACAGCATAGAGATGAAAATTTCACTAAAGGGATTCAAGAGTAGAACAGGCAAAATAAAGAACCAGTGAACTTGAAGCTAGGTTAATTGAAATGGTACAGTCCAGCCGGGTCAGTTTGGCTCAGTTGCTATTAAACTTACCTACAATAGATGCTAAAAAAGTTAATCATGATGAGATGACAGTAGACAAGAACTCAAAGCCAAATGAAGAAATAAAAAGGAAATGATGGCAACAAAATGGTGGAATAGGCGTTTTACCATCATTCTCCAACAGAAAAAAAGGGTTCAAAAGACTGATAAAGCTAAAATTGAAAGATAAATTATTCACTAATTGAAAGAATTTATTTAAAAGACGATACTGCCCAAAGCAATCTACAAATATAATGCATTTCCTATTGAAATTCTAATGGCATTTATCACAGACATGGGAAAAACAATCTTAAAACTTGTGTGGAAGTACATAATGTCCCAAATACTCAAAACAATTTTGAAGAAAAAGCTGGAAGCATACACTTTCTGATTTTAATCTATATTATAAAACTACAGTAAACTAAGCCATATAGCATTGCCATAAAAACATTGAAAAAAAAGGAATAAACTTAGGAGACTCAAACATCCCAATTTTATAACTTACTACAATGCTACAGCAATAATCGGTAATGACAACTACAAAGCACCAAATATAGAGACTTAGCATAAGGATAAAT